CGTTCCCCCGCAAGGGTAAACCAGGTGGCAGCACCGGTGGGACACTCGACACATTTGCCCCTGGCGGTAAAACCAGGTGGCTGCACTGGTGGGACACTACGACACGTTTGCCCTGGTGCGAACCAGGTGGCAGCACTCACCGCTGGAATTCAAGTTGTTCGCATCCTCTAGGATCTCGGCGTTCCGTTGTTTCAGCTTTTTCGCGCGACCGGTAAGGCCGGACTTGGATGCAGTGCTGTATGCCTCGTCCGCCGCCTTATGGCCTCGATCGCCGCCATCTTTGCCTCGGCGACGGGCATTGACGATGTTCTCGTACACGGATGCTGCCTTCAGCGGATCCTCTGCCTGAGCACTGGCGCCCTCTAGTTGTCTGCAGAAACAAGAGAACTGTAGTCGCCATCTGACTGTGATAGTGCGATTGTTTCTCCCTTGTTCTTGCTTCTGTTCTGTTCACAGACTCGCTTTTGTTCAATGTTTAGACAAATTCAGCCATGCTATACTCATTTCAAAAGATTTCATTAATTAATTAGTGATCTTCTTTTTTCTTATTAATGAAACTTTTCTGCTGCAGTATGCATCAAGCAAATTCCGAATTTAAATCCTTCTGCGCTGTGCAGCACGCATGCAGTCAGCATGTTAATTAATTAATTAACAGTTGTTAACGAGGACTCACTGCTGCAGCAGCATGGCCTGCTCCATCAGCTCTGCAGCGTGTCTCTCAGCAGGGAGGAGGTACTTCTCAACGTTTTGTTTTTTGTAGTTTCTGAGGGCAAGCAGCTGAGAGAGGATGCCCTCCTTCCGCATCGTCCGGTAGATGAGCGCCGTCAGGTTGTCCTTTCATCTCCACCAGCGTCTGCCGGGAGCACGCGTTATAGAAGGCAGCACAACTCATAGAGGGCAGCACGGGTTATAGAGGGCAGCATGGGTTATAGAGGGCAGCATGGGTTATAGAGGGCAGCACGGGTTATAGAGGGCAGCATGGGTTATAAAGGGCAGCACGGGTTATAGAGGGCAGCATGGATCACAGATGGCAGCACAGAGTGACGAGATATAGGCCTACGGCCGGACTATGAGCATTGAGCGGGGGCGCTAGCGTGCGCGATACAGGGCGCGGCCGGCGGAGCGACCAGCGAAGGGCGGGAGCTAGCGATATTTTGTGAGCGGGGGAGCTAGCGAGCGGGGGAGTGAGTGAGTGCAGCATCACTACCTCGTAGTACTGGCTGGCAAGCATGTGATACAGGCAGCAGCTAGCAGGCGACGCTAGGAAGCAAGTTGAGTGAGTGCAGCCATCGCGTTACCTCGTAGTACTGGCTGGCAAGCATGTGATACAGGCAGCAGTTAGCGGACGAGCTAGGGAGCGAGTGAGTGAGTGCAGCATCGTTACCTCGTAGTACTGGCTGGCAAGCATGTGATACAGGCAGCAGTTAGCGGACGAGCTAGGGAGCGAGTGAGTGAGTGCAGCATCGTTACCTCGTAGTACTGGCTGGCATTGTAGAGCTGCTCACGTGCGTTCACCATGTTGATCTCTGCATCGTCCATCGTCGTCTGCATCTCCTTACTGAGCATCTTCGTCTCCATGATGACATCCTGCAGCAGACACAAGCTAATTATCAAGTCAACGTCTCTGCAACGCATAGCAAAAAAACGTACACAAGCTGTCGGGAGAGAGACAGAAGGAGAGCGGTGAGAGAGAGGAGAGAGAGAGAGAGAGAGAGAGAGAGACGAGAGTGGAAGTGAGAGTGAGAGTGAGAGTGAGAGTGAGAGAGAGAGAGAGAGAAGAGAGAGAGAGAGAGAGAGAGAGAGAGAGAGAGAGAGAGAGAGAGAGAGAGAGAGGAGGGACGAGAGAGACGAGGAGAGAGAGAACAGTGTTCATATATGGGTGTGGTGGGCTGTGCGTGTGTGACTGTGGTCTGTGTGTGCACGATGCGTGCATTGTGTGCGTGCCGTGCGTGCGTGGTGTGGTGTGTGTGTGCGTGCGTTGCGTGTAGTGTGTGAGTGCAATGTGTGAGTGCGTGCGTGTGTGTGTGTGTGTGAGTGCGTGTGTTGTGGGCGTGAGCGTGCGCTGCATGCGTGCTGTGTGTTGTGAGTTGCATGTGTTGCCTGCGTGCGTGTGTGTGTGTGGTGAGTGGCGTCGTGTGGCGTGACGTGCATGCGTGCGTGCATGCTATATTTTGAATCTGGGGTGATTGGACGGAAATTGAAACGGAGTGTTCCCTCGGTGTAAATTCTACGCACATTGTCGTGCATTAGTGTGTGCGTGCGTGTGTGCGTGCGTGCATGCGTGCGTGCATGAGTGAGTGCGTGCATGCGTGCGTGCATGAGTGCGTGCGTGCGTGCATGCGTGCGTGCGTGCATGAGTGCGTGCATGCGTGCATGCGTGCATGCGTGCGTGCGTGCGTGTAGCAATAAATTATGTCGCAATATATTATACATAATAATAGCCTTTAATAGTAGCTGTTATTATAATATGTATTATATGTATTATATATATTATTTTATATATTATATTATATATTATATATATATGTATATTATATGTATAATATGTATTATTATATTATGTATGTGTATGTTATAGAGTGTATTATTTATAGTTATTATGGTCAGTGTTTTGGCGAGTGTAAGTGTAAGTGTTTTAGTGAGTGTACATGTATTGCTGCTGCAGGGTTGCATCTCGCGTTGAACGAGAAATCCGCCCACCTCGACGACGTTGATCGTTATATTCAAGATGTACGCAGCGCCCTCTATGATGTAAGACTGGAAGCAGGCATGCTGCCGACAGGTAAGCAGGGGGCGTGCTGGCTAATGTACTAGCTAAATGTACTAGCTAATGTGCTAGCAGTGTACTAGCTAATGTACTAGCAACGTACTAGCTAATGTACTAGCAGTGTACTAGCAACGTACTAGTTAATGTACTAGCAGCATACTAGCTAATGTACTAGCAGCATACTAGCTATAATGTACTAGCAGCTAGCGTACTAGCTAATGACCTAGCTAGCAGCTACTAGCTCTGGTTTGTTCTCCTACATGGTTGTGAGTTTGTAAGATTATTTATCACATGCAATAATGAGATCAGTGTATTGTTCAGTGTATATTGATATATTGATATTGATATATTTTGATATATTGATATAATATAATATAGATCAGTGTACTGTATGAGATCAGGTTTGTGTGGGATTGAAATTTCTTCTCACACAAACGTGGCTGCATGGTATCAGTGTGATTTAGTTCATGTGAGAGTGTGAGATATAAGTACGAGGTATCAGAGGCATACCTATAACTCATTTTTAGCTCACCTTGACATCGTCAAGATGAGCTATTTGCCATGGGTGTCGTCCGTCGTACTTCTTCCGCCTTTCGTCACATAAATTTGGCTACGGTAACGATAAACTCAAGAAACCGTTTGACGCCTACATATTTCATATTGCAATATATGGTTACTCTCCATGGTATGAGTTTGAGAACGTTCTATTTGGAGCACGCCAGTCGATCCTCTTCGAAAGCAACGTTACTTTTTGCAAAAATGGAAATGGCCATAAGTCAGTCAGGTCAACGGATTTTTGCTCAAATTCGGTATGTAATGAATAGAGGACGGCCCCAAAAACAATCACACGGGTTTTATATTTTTAAATTATGCAAAATTAGGATATTTGGCAATTTCACTATATATGGCATTAATTCCAAGTTCTGCCTATGGTCACGCCACAAGATTGTATGCCAACAGATCTGAAACACTATTTTCACATAAAATATTACTCCATATATATCATTAATCAAAGTATATAATGAAATTTCTGTAATATATTGGAGTTTCTCTCATATATAACCTCTTTATTATATGCCCCCCTCCTCTCTATCACACCCAAAGTGAGGCTACAGAGTCATTGACACTTTCATTAATGAGGTGGGGGCAGAGCCATGTGTGGTTTGAGTTTTTGGAAGTTGATTGTGGGCTGTTCACAATCGGCCATTTAATAGTATCTACATTTGTGTAAGGAGCAACTGCCCTCTTGCCTTCTGCTAGTTATTACTCTGGGTATCGGTTTAGGTAGCTAGGTCTAATTTTAAGTAATTATGTTCAGATTGTTATATATAAGTTCAGATTGTTATGTATAAAGTTCTTCACATGCTAATATAGTATAAAGTTAGGTTAGTGTATAGGTTCAAATTGTTATGTATAGATTCAGATCGTTATGTATAAGTTCAAATTGTTATGTATGGGTTCAGATTACATATAGATTCAGGTTGTTATATGTATAGGTTTATGTAGTCAGTGATGTTGCGTACGTTACAGACTTGTCGGAGCAGATTAACGAGGCGACGATGCAGGCGATGGAGGCTGAGGAGCAGGCAGACGCCGTCGGTGAGCGCGCTGACGTCATGATCGCTGAGATCAACGATGACCTGCTGCCGATGCTGCGCGACCTCGAAGGTCTTAGCTCTGAGCGTTCGACAACGCGTCCAAGTCCCGTAAGTGCTTCACGACTGTTAGGATGTGTTCAGGGGTCATAGGGGGGATGCTGACAGTGTATGCACACACAGGGTAAGGTCTCAGCTCTGAGGCGTTCGACAACGCGTCAAGTCCCCGTAAGTGCTTCACGACTGTTAGTGGATGTGTCAGGGTCATAGGGGGATGCTGACAGTGTATGCACACACAGGGTGTTGATAGGTTGTTGACGATGATAATGTAGGTGAATAGATGTGGATAGATCTCAGTAAGACTGCACACATGTGTCTAGTGTTCTCTAACTCTTCATGTATGACAGTATGGCTGACTGCATATGTATCGTGTCACATACCTCACATATCTAACTCACCCTGCATGTATGTATGTGTGTGTGTGTGTTACAGTGGAGCAGGCGGAGGATGACAGTGTGGAGGCGATGGTGCTGGTGGATCAGCTGGAGACGCGCGCGCTGCACATGCAGAAACTCAACGCTAACGTCACGTACAACCTGAAGGCCCTGCGAGACAAGATCATGCTGGCTCGACACCGTGCATCCAGTGTGAGTCACACAGCTAGGGGTTAGGGGGAATGTTAGTTAAAGATAATTAAGTTAGCATCGGGCTAGTGTAGGTTAGGTTTAATGTTAGGGTTAAAGATAAGGTTAAGGGTTAGCATCGGGGCTAGTGTTAGGGTTAGGTTTAATGTTAGGGTAAAGATAAGGTTAAGTACAATGCGGGCAGTGTAGCGTTAGTTTAATGTAGGGTTAAAGATAAGCGTTAAGGATACATCGAGCTAGTGTAGGGGTTAAAGGTTAAGTAAATAGGATAATAGGATTATATTAAGCTATACTCACATAACCCAACGATATGATACAAGACACTATAGTGATTACCAGGCCGAGCCTGAAGGTGGGGCGGCGAGGGGACCAAGGGGGCCAGCTGTCGCCCCATAGATTTTGAGCAAAATTTAAAAAATAAGTGCTAATAATCGTAAATAACCCAACATATTTTTTGGTCACGATCTGATGAAGCCTGTCTCACACCGACCCCTACCACATTATAGACGTCAATCAAGAGCTGTGACCATCGCTCATTACAAAGTTGAGTCAGGAAATTTTGTACCCCCTAGGAATTTGCTCAGCCTACGGCCCTAATTACCATATAATTTGGGAACTCACAAGGAATACATCAGGTCATCTATATTTGCACATAAGATTTTGTCATTCTCATGTCACAAGCAATTGCACAATGTCACAAGGTAAATCACGTGCAAGTAGAGAGATGAATATAAATTTTGTATACGATGTATGCAGATCAAAATATCGATGAGCACCAAGGAGGGCGACTGCGTCAGGCGTCTACGACCTGAGATTGAACCCGGCTCGACCAATCACATTGTGCTTCACTATTCGACGAGCACGCCCTACAACGACAGCCTGCTCTTCTATCTGAGCAGCTCGTCCTTCGTAAGTCATTGATTCTGGCACAAAATAAGTCGTACACACCTCCCCTCCTCCTGTATAAGTCGTCTATGGAGAAACCGCACACACCTCCGTCTCCCTGCCTGCCTATAATGTCGTCTATGTAAAAACCGCAACACACCCCCCTCCCGTCCTGCATAAGTCCGAACCTATGTAAACTCGCACACCCTCCCCTCCCTCTGCCATAAGTCCGTGCTATGTAGAACCGCACAGCCCTCAAACCTCCTCCTGCCACTAAGTCGTACGAGCTAGAAACTCGCACACCCAGCTTCCCTCCTGGCATAAGTCGTCTATGTAGAGCCACCGACGACCTCGCCTCCCCTGCATAATTCGCTATGTAGACAACCGCACCACCCTCCCCCTCCCCTCCTGCAATAATTGTCTATCGTTAGAATACTCCGAGCACCGCACACCCTCACCCTCCCTCCTGCATAAGTCGTCTATGAGAAACTCGCAACACCGCCATCACCTATTCGCTCCTGCATAAGTCGTAACTTATGGAGAAACCTCGCACACCCAATCCTCCACCTCCTGCATAAGTTTGTCTATTGCTAAAACCACGCACACCCTCACTCCCTCACCTGCATAACGTCTAATGTTAGAAACTAGGCACACACGCCCACCCCTCCCTCGCTGCATAAGTCTCATATGTA